TTCTCCCGGCCAGGCGGGCACATTCCAGCGCATTGAGGGGAGCAGCACCCCTGTGCTCTGAAGTGAGCCCCACGCCATGAGACGTGTAATAAACACCGTGTTTCGTCCAGCCCAGCGCCAGGTGCAATGTGAAATCCTCCTCTTAGAAAAAGGCAGAAAATCAATGTAATCGGGTGTAGATTTTATTATCCCTGATCTCATTACCACTTCGCCCGCTACTAGTCAGCAGATAAAACGTCCACAACTCAGGCAAAGTCCAAGGAAGGTCTTTGGTTCTTTAAATTCCCTAGAAATCCAGAATGACTCGTTTAGTAAAAGCTCCTTTTGTCATGGCAAAATAAAATGTATTTCACAGTCTATTAAAATGGCAGCTCCTGCAACAGCAAGTCACTTTTGCCCTTGAATCTTTAGGCTCTTTCCCCCATTTTGTTAAAACAGTACATAAAAAGGTCTTTTTTTTATCCATCAGGTCATCTGAGAAGACTGGTCTGACACTACAAATATGATCAGCTTTTTACTTAATTATAGGAGTAATTTGAGTTCATTCAATGCTTAATTTGTCTCCTTTGGAATTACTGCCATTTTTGTAGTCAATTGACATGTGCCCTGTCCTTCATGCATGTCAATACTCATGAAAATCAAGCTGATGAGAAAAGAAAGAGCAGCATTTAGAGCTGCTGCCTGCCTGCATGGCCAGCCCCAAAACTCTGAATTAATCAGCCAGAGCGAGGAAGGTGTTTTAACAACCAACCACATCCAGGAATTCTTTTCTTTCTCCTCATAGCTGGATATATTGGATTAAAAGCCTTGGTACTGACAGCAAGACTGCTTGGAGATTGACCTTGTGAACCCGTTTGTTAGGACTGTTGAGAGAGGAAAACAACAACTACTACACAAGCAGTGTCAAACATTTATTTCAAACTTGTGCAACACTGCATTAGTTACCGATTGATACGGAGAAAACCCCCCAGCAGTTTCTTCTCTTTACATAAACATGGTAATACTGCAGCTTTACAGTACTCAGAACCCCGTCCCTAAAATACTTCTAACTGCAAGTGGTTTAAAAAAAAAAAAGGCAAAGTTTGGATCTCATTGATTTATTTCTGAGTGACAGTCTGCACTCCTGGTTTCAAATTCTATCGCAGTAAAAAGTTCCAGCTATGTGGGCCCACAGTGTGCTGTCATCAACACATAAAATACACCGTTAAACTTCATGTGGTTTGGAGTCCCATGACCACAAACTGAAGTTACAGGAATGAGAAAGAGAAGGAGATCACAGAGAGAGCACAAAGTCGAAGCAGGCACTGCAGAAGGGAGGAATCAAACTCCTTCAGCTTCAAAACGGGTCGTTCCTGATGAAGACACCAGGTCATCATGATACAGATGAGGCTCTTCTGATCCACATTGGAAAAATCAGGTTTTTAATCAGTCTGCATGAATGAGACTTAACTTTTAAAATATTTCTTAGACTGCTTCACTCAAGTTGGCTTTTCCTTTTCAGTCGTTTTAAAAATGAGAATTATTTCAGCTAGCACAGGCTGGGCACCATCACTCTGACTGCAGACTGCTCTTTTCCACGCTGCCCATCCCAGCAGAAAACGTCTTTAAATGGGGCTTTGGAATCAGTTTGCTTTCTGGGACTCAATCGAGGCAGTTTGTTTTCTGTTTTGTTTTGCTTTGCTTTCTTAAGCACCTTGTGTGCCACAGAGCAAGCTCTGAAAAAAAAAAAAACAACTCACATCTGCACAGTAAAATCGTTTTCCTGTCTGGTTGGGTTTTTACACTGCTCTCAAGCAACGACTGTTTCTGTTGTGCAGGTTTGTTTTTTCACCCTTGTCTCCTGTGTGTAGTAAGATGTTAACAAGCAGTGTGGAAAAAAAATCCAAACCCAAGGCACGTGTCGGTATCAGAAACCTCTGGGCAGAGCAGGAGTGATGTGTAATAGAAGAAAACCTTCACAGATCTTCCTTTGGCTTTTTGTTTGCTTCGAAGAGGCACTTCAGCAGACAAGGTCCAGATCAAGAGGTCCAGACACCAGAAAGGCACTGGCATGTGAAAGGTTTAAGGTGCTTTTCTGCAAGATCCATGGCCTGGCAGCTGGGCTGTAGAAACAGGAATGAGACATTTTCCTTTTGGTGCCAAACTTTCATTGACTTGAGTAGTTACTTGGTCCTGGGCAGAGATTTCCACTGCCTGCCTCAGTTTCTCTGTCTCCAAGGACAGATCTAACACTCACTGTGAGGTGAAATTAATAAATAACACATGAATCTTAATACTTTTGTGACAGATCCTTTAAAAAAATTAGATTCTTCTCCCTACGTTCCACAAAAAAAATAGAAATATTTAAAGGATTTTAAAATATTTTTTCTTCTTTTTCCTTTTTTTTTTTTTTTAACAAAATGTTTAGGAAGTAAAATTCAACGAGACAGTTCAGTTTTGCTGCTAGCCAGTTCTGTGTGTTTCCACAGTGACTCCAACAGCCAACAGTGCAGGGAAGGGTATATTTAAGTGCCTATAAAACCAAATTTGGCAATATTTGCACAACAGAATGCTAGCCTAGACATTTAATGTCAATTAAAACAGTGGAACACAACACTAGTTCTAAATTTCTTAGCCCTTACTGTTGACTTATCAATCCTTTTCAATTCCAGAGAATGAAAACTCTGATTTTTTTTGTGCTTACTGAAGGCAGTCAGCTTTTGTTCTTACCACCTTCCCCTTCCACAGACTATATAAAGTAAGAAAAGACAGGCAGGAGGAATTAGACA